CCCCCTTTGGCCTCACTCTCCGGGCCCTCACTCTCCTGCTGCCTCACTCTTCTCTGCCTCAATCTCTGCTGCTGCTTCACTCTCTGCTGCTGCCTCACTCTGCTGCTGCCTCACTCTGCTGCTGCCCCACTCTGCTGCTGCCTCGCTCTGCTGCTGCCTCACTCTGCTACTGCTTCACTCTGCTGCCTCACTCTGCTGCTGCTTCACTCTGCTGCCCCACTCTGCTGCTGCCTCACTCTGCTACTGCTTCACTCTGCTGCCCCACTCTGCTGCTGCCTCACTCTGCTGCTGCCTCACTCTGCTACTGCTTCACTCTGCTGCTGCCTCACTCTGCTGCTGCTTCACTCTCTGCTGCTGCCTCACTCTGCTGCTGCCTCACTCTGCTGCTGCCTCACTCTGCTACTGCTTCACTCTGCTGCTGCCTCACTCTGCTGCTGCTTCACTCTCTCCTGCTGCCTCACTCTGCTGCTGCCTCACTCTCTGTTGCTGCCTCACTCTGCTGCTGCTTCACTCTCTGCTGCTGCCTCACTCTCTGCTGCTGCGTCAGTCTCTGCTGCTGCTTCACTCTCTGCTCCATCAACATCTATAGTCCTCACGCTCTCCACACCTATTCCCTGCCTAACATAAATCCTATCTAACCATGCCTTATATCCCCTACGAATAAAAGTGTGCTCCACCCCATGTCCCCTACTCCCCACCATATCTACCACTCCTACATCTCGCAAAACATCTCTCAGAACCCCCAAAACACAACCCGGCCCCCTCAGAACCACATCACCGTTCCTAATTACGCTATTCCAATCCCCACCAATCACAGTAATAGCAGGTAAACCTCTCAAGTGATATACCAAAACATCGCGTACAAAATTCACTTTCACTCTAGCGTTACTAGTTGCTGGCATGTACACACCTACAAAACAAGCCCTACCGGCCCCCCAAAACCCATCCACCCTGACAACCCTCCCAACCCCCTCCTCCCAACCCAGGATACACAAAGGATTGGTCTCCTTTACCGCCACAGCCACACCTCCTTTCAACCTCAAAGCATCACTGGCAAACAACTTATAACCTTTCAACAACAACTCACATCCTAACCTATGGTTATGTTCCTGCAAAAAACAGACATTAATACTAAAAACTCCTTTAAAAACCCCCTCTAACCATACTCTCTTGACCTCGGTTTTAAGACCGTTTACATTGAAAGTTACACACCTGAATTTTACTAGAAAGGCAGCTTACCCCTGTGCCGCTGAGGCTTACTTGGTCCTCCTTTCATAGGTCTCGGTCCATCTCTATCATTCCCTCGTTCCTGCCCTCCAACCCCTCCCTGTCCCTTCCCGCCGATCTTCCCATTGCCCCCCCCCCTCCTGCCGGTCTTGCCATTTCCACCACAGCAGCCCAAATCTTCTTCCCAGGCCGCTGCGCTGGTGTGAGGACCTCGTCCATGTCTGATGCCCCCGCTGATCTCTTGAGGGAGCTACCCTCTACACACATGTCTTCTTCAACCACATCTTCTTGATGGACCTCCACCACCACATTGCTCTCCATTTGAACCTCACTCAAGTCTTCCTTACCCCATTTCTGTTCGTCCATCACCTTGACATCACCTAACCTCACGTCACCTTCCACTCCATGCTCCGACTCTTCCAAAAAATCCTTCATCACAGCCTGCAACATCCCTTCTTGAGCTGAATCTGTAGTACCTAACAGTCTGTCTGACAACGATATTATCCCCCCCCCCCCATTTCCACTGGTAGTGTAACATGTCTCCAAACCCACCTCTGCTCTTTCGACCTCCTCACTCCATAGGCCCTTACCCCGGCTTTCCACTCCACCCGTCAAAACGCCCAAGGCTTCTAACTGCGTGTCTTCAGAAGCTTTCTCTTGACCCCTAGGGCCCTGTCTCCTGGGGCATTGTGCCATAATGTGCTCATAAGAGTCACATAAATGGCACGTCTTCCTCTGCCCCGCATAGTGTACAAAAACCTGTGTTCTATGGCTATGCAATGTGACATGATGGTATCGGCCTCCTCAAGGTCATTTCCAGTTTGAAGGATCATTCCGGCAGCCCCTCGTAGGGGCCGTCCCTCCACATTCCCATGCTCACCGAGTGTACAGTCCCATAACCACTGAACACATCTTGTAGGCTGTATGCTGTTGCTTCAAAAGGTACATTCCTTACCTTCACCTAAGTAAAATACTTAGACACATCATGCAAGCATACTTCCACTGCTGAATTGATACTCTTCCTCCTTTCTTGAAATTCGTTGACTATGTTAGAGTAGAAGTCAGCCCTCATGAACTTCACGAAGACCCTTGACATACTATTCAGTGCCACCCCATACAACTCTTCATTGGGGATGCCATAAACGTCCCTGATAATGCTTGGCAGGAGAACGTTCATCGTGGCGCTGCTTAAAGTTCCTCTAACCAGCTTAATGCAGACAGTATTTATGTGCCGGTTCATTCGGTCTTCCATCTTGGTGCTAATGTTATGTTTTCCTCACCAGGTGGCGTGCAAGAGAAACTGTAGAAGTGTCCTCTCTCCCCGCAGGTCGAGAGACGAATGTATAATCTCAGTTACATTGAGGGCGTTGTTCCTATGGAAATAAGTCACTCTGTGACTTTTTTGGGTTATCCTAGGTTCTCTACACATATGCTGCTATGTATGATAATTCTATGTAACTGTATTTGTGTATACCTGAATAAATTTACTTACTTACTTACTTAACCAATAGTCTCATTGTGCCTATCCCTAACCCCCAACAGCCTGATACATTTAGACCGATCTCCTTAACTAGTTGTCTTTGTAAAACCTTTGAAAGAATGATACTTAACAGACTGTACTACAGAATCAGACACCAACTATTCCCCTACCTCTATGGGTTCATGAAAGGTAAAAGTGTGCAGAACTGTATTTCCACCTTTCTCACTGCCCACACCTCTACTAGCTTTACCACTTTTCTTGATCAAAAATCTTCATTTGATATTGCGAACAGAACCGTTATACTACATGAACTAGCCAAAATGAATATTGGTGGTAGCTTACTCTGCTGGATAATAGGATACCCGTCAAATAGAGTATCCTCTGTCA